GGAGACGGGGAGGTGAGAGAAATAATAATATGTGTGCTGCTAAAAACACACACACACACACACACACACATAGACAGACAAAGAGAGGTGGGAAGGAGGAGGGAGATATTAAATATCAGATAAAGCAAAGTGTGTGTGTGTGTGTGTGTGTGTGTGTGTGTGTATGTGTGTATGGGTGTGTGCGCGTGACTACGTGCGTGTGTGCGCGCGCGCACGTGCTGGACTGCGCACATGTGCAAATACATTTGAAAGTCGTATGCACATTCCGTTAGTATGGACAAAAATGAATCAATTGTGCGTGTAGGAATAGACCCACTGGCACGAATGGGCGCACAAACACACAGAAATAGAAAGGGAGAGAGATAAACAGAGGCAGAAGGGGGTGGGGTAGTTGGGCTAAGAGAGAGCACTTTTCAGAGAATGGAGAGAAATAGAAAGACTGAGTGTGAAAAGGACAGAGAAATAGACTCGGAGACAAATGGAGGTTCAGTCAGAAAAACGTATAAATCGGTAAATCGAAAATAGACCGTAAGAGTAGATAGACAGACAGATAGATGAATAGACAGATAGACAGATAGATAGAGTGATAAATAGATAGATAAATAGATAGATAGATAGATCTACCTGGCTTTTTCTGATCTACTTTCGACTCACCTTGCCTTAACTTCCCCGAGTGAGTATTTCGGAAGTTCATAGCTACGGCGCCTCACACAGAACACGCGCGCACACACACACACTTTACGTAAATACTCAGGCACGCAGAGAACACCTTCCGCACTCTTCATTACCTTCGGAAATTATATTCTTTTGTGGGAGCATTCTATTCTCAGGCTGATCTATTCCAAGGAAGAGCGCTGGAAATGATATGGTTGTGTCAAGAGAAGTTGCTGTAGAAGGAAGGGAGGGAAGGCTTCTGAGAGTACCCGGGATGCAGAAGGCTTGGTTCGGAAATGTCTGAAAGTTCTATGCTAGTGAAAACAATTAAAATTTGGTCAAATGCAGTCCATGAGATGGTGTTTAGGACCATCTGATTACCGCAAGTGTATCGCTTGCTTTTGAAGGCACTTTCCACCGGATGTTGAGGGGAAGGCGGTCCTTTGATGTGAGATAATATTGGTATTACTTTCTAAATTGTTTGTTCAAACATAATTTGTATGTATTCATCAGGTTTTTGGTTTTTTTCTTTTCATGAGAGACAGAGACAAAGACAGAGAGAGAGAGGGGGGGAGAGAGAGAGAGAGAGAGAGA